GTATGTATGCATGCGCGTACGCATTCGTATGTATGTATGTGTATAGACAGGGATGTCTGTTTATATGTAGATATACGCGTATTTGTATGTATGTGTGTGCATACTGTATGTATGTATGCATGTATGTTGCATGTATGCATGTGCGTAAGTGTTTGTATGCATGTATATACGCATATATGTATGTAACTTTGTATGTATGCATACATCTATATATCGGTATGCATGTGTACTTATCTGTACCTATACGTGCACATGTGTGTACGCGTGTGCATGATGTATGTATGCATGTGTATGTACGTAGCATGCACGCATGGATGTTCTTATTGATGTATGCATCTATGCACGTGCGCATGCATGTATGTATGCATGTAGGTAAACATGTCTGTCTGTATATATGTATGCGCCTATACATGTATGTATGCATGTATGCATGCATGCATACATGCATGCATGTATATATATATATTACATACATATATACGTGTATATATATATATATGTATACTTGTATGTATGTATGTATGTATGGATGCATGTAGGTATACATGTATGTATGTATGTGCATGTATGTATGTATGCATTCATGCATGCATGCATGTATGTGTATGTGTGTACGTGTGTATGTATTCATGTTTGCATGTATGAAATTATGCATGCATGTATGTATGTATGTATGCATGTATGCATATATGTACATATGTATGTATATATGCATATACGTAGGTATGTATATCTATGTATGTATGTATAGATGTATGCATGCATGTATGTTTGCAGTGCATATATATATATATATATATATATATATATATATATGTAGGTGTGTATGTATGTCCGCCGATCCGGCGTGTGAGTTTCTGAGAGCGCGGGCTTGAGCTCGCTCAAGCTTCGCTCTGCCAGGGGGGGGGCGAAATCAGTGCACTGGGGGGGCCTAATTCGGAGCTCTCGGGGGGGGGAGGAAGGGCGTAATTCGGAGCTCTGGCTTCTTCTCCTCTCTTTCTCCCTCGGGCGTCGGGGGCTCTCGGGCTTCTCCAACGGGGGGCTCCTCGGGGTGGGGGAGGAAGGGCGGTAAACTCGGGAGCCGGGGGCGGGGGGAGGTGGGGCGGTAAAGAGTAACCTCAGCAAACTCCAAGTTTTGAGAGGCTGACAACCACACATCATAAAAAGGTGTGGACACGAAACACGGACGGGGGAGGTGGTAGAGGGGCGGTCGGGGAAGGGGGGTGGACGTCATTCGGAGCACCAGGGGAAGGATAGGTAGGGGAAGAGATAAATCTCCAGATCACGAGAGTGGTTGGTGAGGTCGTCGACTGCTTTTGAATCTTTTTTCGGAGGACGGACAGGGGGGCCAAAAAAATAAGCGTATACATTGAGGAATTTTTAGGAGACTACAAGGGGGAGGAGATCATTGAGGGAGGTGGGCCCAATTCGGTCAACGGGAGGAGGTACGGGGGAGGGGGGGGATGTTTAAAATTCGAATGCAAAGGGGGGGAGGGGGGGAACCTGAATCTGGAGCAGCGTGTGGGGAAGGAGGGGGGGGGGGGAGGGGGCGTAACTCAGAGCAAAACGGGGGGGCCAAGGGGAGGTGGGTGGTGAGGGGGAGGGGGGGGGGGGACGTAACTCAGACCACGGGGGGGGGGACGGGAGGGGCGGGGGGACTCCCGACGCCATTCAGTGCACCCCCGGCCCCAGCCCCTGGTCCCGGGTCACGGCACCGGTCGACCCGTTCCCGGCCCTGGCCCCGGCCCCGGCCCCGGCCCCAGCCCCGGCCCCGGTCGCGGCTCCAGCCGAACCCCGGTCCCTGGCCGGCCCCGGCTCGCAGCCCCCGACCCCGACCGGCCCTGGCCCCGGCCCTGGCCCCGACCCCGCTCCCGGCCCCGTCCCCGGCGCTGGGTCTGGCCAGGTCCCGGCCCCCGGTCCCGGCTCTGGTGCCGGCTCTGGTTCCGGTTCCAGCCCCAGCCCCGGCCCGCGAGCCTCGCCCCCACAGGCCGGGCCCCAGCCGGGGCCCCTAACCCGGCCTCGGCCCTGGCCGCGGCCCCAGCCCCAGACAGGCCTGGCTCCCGGCCCGCTCCGGCTCCGGCCCCAGCCCTGGTCCCGGCCCGGGCCCTGGCCTCGGTCCCAGCCCCGGCCCCGGCCCCAGTTCACGGCCCCAGCCCTGGCCCCGGCTCCAAATCCAGCCCTGGCCCCGGCTCCTGGTCTCAGTTTTGGCCCTGGCCCAAGTTCCGGCTTATCTTCGATCCAACCCTGGCCTTGGCCCTGGCCCCGACCCTCCTGGCCCCCGGTCCCCGCTCTCGGTCCCGATCCCGGCCTCCTCCTCCTCCTCCTCCTCCTCCTCTTCCTTCCTTCCTTCCTTCCTTACTTCCTTCCTTCCTCCCTCCCTCCTTCCCTCCCTCCCTCCGTCTACACGTTTCTTCACGGGCTTTCTTAGAGTGCGTGTAGGTATAGGGCCGTGAATACACAATCCCCCCCTCGGGCCTCGGTGGGACTGAGAGGGGGGTGGGGTAGCGAGAGTGTGCTCAGAGCTGCGAGAGACAGTCCATAATCATCTTGGGCTCCAGCTTTTTAAAGGGGCCCCAGGACACACAAATAAATACACACAAATAAACATATTCCCAATACTTTCTCATACTTTCTGGGTTTCTGTCTTGCCCCACTTCCGATATTCTCCCATATTTTCTGGGGAATCGACGATTAATTGTGTCTGTGTGTTTCTTTCCCTGCTGAGTTTTATCAGGAAGGCGTCTCCTCGACCTCCCGCGCGCGGCCCCTGCGCGCGGCCTCGGCAGCCGCGGAGTTCCCGTGGGTTGCCGCGTGCGTGCTGGGCGCCTCGCTGTATCGCGAGGGCGCGGTCGGCGACTGGGTGGGCCGGGGCGCCCGCGAGTTCGAGGCCTCCAGTTGGGGCGTCGACCTAAGAGGAACCCTATATCAGAAGCGATGCCCCTTTTCTCCACGCGTTGAACTTCGATTGCCCATGGAAAACCTGAGAAAAGCCTAAGGCAAACTGCGGAACAACTAAGGAACACGGAGCCCCTCCCCAACGAGAAGGGTTCCTTCTCCAGGGCCCCGACTGTACTACTGGTACGAGTCTCTCGCGGACGGTCCTGACGGCGACGACTGCTCCGACGACGAGGAGGAGTTCGGCGGGTCGAGTTCGGAGACGCCTATGCCCCCGCAGAAATGGGGCAGAGTGTACTATCGGCCTCGGGCCGACGACAGAAAAGGTTTGATCATGCTGCTGGTGACTCGTTTCACGTCTACGACTGGAGAGAAGCGCTGGGTGGCCATCGATCCGACTGGGCGGCTCCAGGTGGTGGACCTCGCATCCACGACCAAGGTGAAGTCGACCAAGTTCGTGGGCGTGGGCCACGGCAGCTTTCTGGGCATGTCGAGCGAGCCGGGAGAAGGGCATGGCTGTGGAGGCGGCGGACCACATCATCGCCTCTGGATCCTCGACGACGACGGCTACGATCACTCGAGACTATCAGCGCAGGAATTCAACAGGGAAGAAGGGTCACCGACGCCACTTCGTGACATGGGTGGCGAAGATCGCGAGCAACACCGTCGGCTACATGTGGGCTCGGCGAAGTTTTGGAGGTTTCGCTGGATTTACCTTTGTTCTGTGGCGAGCTTGCGCGTACTTCAACGCGATCGAGTGGATCAAGTTGGCCTACTCGAGCGCCAAGGAGACCATCGAGACCGTGGATGGGCTGAAGGAGGAGTACGAGCACATTCTGGAGATGCACGAGTCGGGGGCCCTCGAGCCGCCCTACGTTTCGGTCGGCATCATGTTCGTGGTCGGCGTGACTGGAGCGTGCTGCGGGCGGCGAGAGAGTTCTGGCCTGCCCCCTCCCGGCGGGCACGCGGAGATGGCAGCGCCTGCGTTCTGGCCCTGGCGGCAGCTCTTGCCCTGGTCGCCTACGGAGTCCGTCAGCTCGTCAGGAGTTTCGACGTCTCGCGACGAGGGCACTGTGATATCCGACGAGGAGGGCGTGTCGAGCGAGTCCGAGTTGGCGAAGCAGCCGAGCGTGGTGGCGGACAGGCTCGCGGCGCTGGAGATCAAGAGCTCACGGCCGCCTCTACCGCCTCCAGCCTCACCTCCTCCGACGAGGTCCGCTCCCGCTCCCGCGACGGGCTGGAGTGGGAATCTTGGCGAGGACTCGGGCACGAACTACGACCAGATGATGTCCCAGCTGTCCCAGCTGCTCGAGCGCTTGGACAGGCATAAGGGGATCGTCCAGGCCGACAGCCAGGCAGCGATGGCAGGCACTCCCCCCCGAGCCCAGGAGGTCGCGGCGAGGGGTCCCGAGGTCGAGGCGCTGGTGCGAGATCTGGGCGACTCCTTCTAGGACATGCGCGTCATGGCGAAGGAGGAGCTCGAGGCCTTCAGCCCGTCGGTGAGCTGGACGATCCCTGGCGGCATCAAGACCCGCGTCGCTGCAGCCATGGTGGCTCGCCTCTACAGGAACGGGGCGACAGCGGTCTCCGCGATCCGCGAGATCATTCGCCTCAAGCAGCTGGAGGGCGACCACATGGCCGAGGAGATGCTGCTCATAGGGATGAGGCTCGACCGCTCCATGATCGAGGCCCCTCCCGAGTTCATCAACTGCAAGACGACGGAGCTCGCGCTTCGGAGGCTGTGCGGGATCGAGCGGGCCTTCGAGAACGTCAAGCAGCGCAGCGACTGGAGGCCCCTGAACGGCGCGAAGCAGGGCTGGAAGTCGCGGATCAACTACCGCGTACTGGAGGAGCTCGACGCGTCCAAGGCCGACCAGGAAGGGGTCCTGATCGACGGCGTGGAAAAGGTGCTTCGCGAACGGCTCGCGCATCGCGCTCTGCTAGCCAAGTCCCTCGACAAGCTTCGCGACCACGAGAACATGCCGCCGAATAAGGGCGAGTAGCTGGTCGAGGAAGGTTCCTCTTCAGGCGCCGGGCCCAGGCCGGGCGCATCGCTCGTGCGGCGCTGATCCTGATCGGCGCCGCCCACCTCACCGACGTGCGCTATGGCGTTCTTTTCAGACTTTCTCATGGGCGTGAGAGCGGAGTGCGTGTTCCCGTCGGACGGTCGAGTCAGAGACCCGCTGGAGGTGCTCCCGCTCCTGGCCCAACCCGAGCCCGCGTCGTCGACCTCGGGGCGATCGAGGTCGCGGGCCGCTCGGGAGAGAGCGGTGCGGGCTCGGGCGAACGCTGCTCTGAGGTCCTTGGCGGCTCTCACCGCTGGGCGCCGCGGTCAGCTTCGAGACACTGCATGGGGCAGTGCGACGGAGTGGACGAGAAGCCACGAGTTGCCACGGGTAATCTCGGAGAGGGTGCTGGAGTGCCACCGGGGGGCCCACGACCTGAAGATGTACGCCTCCGACGCCGAGTCCGCTTTCGAGCGGCTGGCCTTGCGCGCCAAAGCTGGGACCTACGTGGCTTTCGATGTATCAAACGACGAGGAGGGGGCGCCGCCGAGGGGAAAGGTGATGCCCTTCGTGAGCGGCGAGGCGTCTCTGCCGCCAGCAGGGGCGGAGCCGTGCGACATCAAGCTGGTCTCGCCGAAGGCCAGGTACTACTTCGACGGGTTCCACGAGAGGATGGCCCTGCCGCCGAGCCAGGTGGACGAGGCCGACATCGAAGCTGCGCGCTCCTACGCAGACCCGAGCCTCCGCCAGCGAGCAGCGCGCTTGGATTTCGCGGTGCGGCTGTGGGAGGCGGGGATGCTCGGTTTCGCTCGCGTCTGCAAGGCCGAGGTGGCCGTGTTTGTCGTGATGAAGAAGACGCGCGAGGACGGGGTCTACGTGCTGAGGCCAGCGTGGGACATGAGGCGCGCGAACGAGCGCTTCAGGAGCCTGCCGCACCTCAACCTGGGGTCCCCGACGGCGATGGCGGAGCTCGACCTGTCCGACGAGGTGACGCAGGGCCGGGGTCTGAAGTCGACGTGGGGCGACGTGCCCGACTTCTTTCACGGGTGCCGCAGCTGTGCCTGACTGTGGCCCTGCATGGTGTACGGCGGTGTCTCCATCGACGAGTTCGTGAAGGAGCTCGAGAGGCGGCGGATGAAGCTGCTCAGCGTGCCCAACGGATGCCGATATCTCTGTCTTGTGGTGATGCTGATGGGGTTCAGCTGGTCGCCAGCGATCTGCCGCGGAGCGCTGGAGGATGTGATATGCGACCTGCCTGGCTTTCCCCGTCGTGCCCGGCTGATCCGCGGGCTGATGCTCCCGAGCTTCGCCGAGGTGGCCTTCGTCTACTGGGTTTTCATGGGCGACTTCGCCTCGTCGGCTCTGGTGCGCGAGAGCGACGCGACGACCGTGGAGACGGTGAAGCAGGCTGCTCGGGCGAAGCTGAAGGAGGTGGGCCTGGACATGCACGCGGATGGAGTCGGGGATGCATTGCCCCTCTCCCTTGGGGTGGCGATTGCCGAGCAGCCGTGCCGACTTGTGGCTTCCAGGGGGAAGATCCAGAACGTGATCGGGGCAACGGGGGCTGTCATGGCTCGGGGCCGAGCGACGTCCCAGGAATTGTCCCACATCGTTAGTTGCAAGTTCGTGACGAAGTTCGAGGGCGACCAGACCAGGCGCGAGCTATGGGAGAGCGTGCTGAACGAGCTGCACATGCTCGACCACCTCGCGCCCCTGATGCACACGGACCTGGAGCCCCGCTGGAGCGAGGTCGTGTTCGCGACCGACGCGAGCCAGGCCGGCATGGGCGTGGTGGGGGCCCAGGCGACACGGAGCGAGGTCAAGGCGGAGGTGGACCGACAATGGAGATTCCAGCAGCTCCACGACATGGCCAGGGACGAGGACGAGGAGCTACTGCTGAGCGGCGACGACTGGGAGTGCTCCAAGCGGGGGATCCCGAACACCAGCGGCGAGGGCGACGTGCCCCCGCAGCGGCTGATGGCCGACGTGCTTGAGGGCTACGGCGGCTTTGGGGAGGAGGTGCGGAGCGAGTGCCAGTGCCAGAGACCCTCTTCGTGGACAACGCTCGCAACCCGCGCCGCGACCTCATGGATCCGTCGTTCGTCGAGCTCATGTGCAGCGCCATTTTGTTCGGCCTCCTCTTCATGGTGCACGCGGCTCCTCCATTCTCATCCTTTTCCAGAGCGCGGAGGCCTGCGATTCGGGCACCTGGACACTGGATTCGAGGGCTCCCTGGGCTGTCCCCGCCTCAAGTGCAGCGGGTCCGCGAAGGCAACGCCTTGGCTCAGGCAGCTATCTCCATGTGCTTCGCCTGCCTGGCTTCAGGCGTGGGCTCCTCCCTCGAGAGCCCCAGAACCTCGATGATCTGGGGGCTGCCCGAGATGGCGAAGCTGGTGGAGCAACCAGGCGTCTTTGTGGTGGAGCTGGTGTACTGCGCTTTCGGGGCGAGGTGGCTCAAGCCGACGCGACTGATCACGAACGTCGAGAGTCTGAGGGAGCCGGCGCGCCGCTGCTCTCGAGACCACCCTCATCAGGAGCTCCGAGGGCGAAGCGCCGAAGGGCAGCTGTGGACCAGGCTCGCCGCTGTCTACCCGCCTCGGCTCTGCAGCGCCTACGCCAAGCCGGTCAGAAAGGCGATCGAGGCCAAGCGGTTGGAGTTGCACGACTGGCGAGTTCGAGAAGTTCGGAGCCCTCCGGAGAAGCCCAGAGCGGTCATGGACCACTGGGCGGATTTATCGAGATGGCACCTGTCGTGGAAGGGAGAATGGGCATACGAGACCCGCATCAATGTGCAGGAGATGAGGAGTGTGTCCTCAGTGGCGAGATATCTATGCAGGTCTTCGAGGTGCTGGTTCAGCCGTTTTCTGGTGCTATGCGATTCCATGGTCACCGTCGGAGCTGTTCGAAAGATGAGGAGCTCGTCCAGGCCGTTGATGACGCAGCTGAGGAAGATCGGAACTATATCTCTAGCGACGGGAGTGAGGCTCACCCTGAGATTGATCCCGACCGACATGAATCCAGCAGACGGCCCGTCGCGAGGAGAAGGGATCGGCAGCGCGGAGATCACAAATGCGAAGTCCGAGCAGAAGAAGTCCATCCTGAACGACCAGCACCCCTTCGAGAGGCTCCTGGGCGACGAGCTGGAGATCAAGGGCATGCACGACGACTATCTGGTGCGACACCTTCGCGCTGAGCTCAGCCAACACCGACGAAGCCTTCTCGAGCTATGACGCCCCGGACGAACAGCCTGACAGCGACGAGGATGCAAATGATCTTGCAGCGGAGGCCAGCATGATCGCTGGAGTCGTCGAGGGTCTCAGTGCAGAAAAAGTGAGCTCGTCGAGAAAGAAGGCCACGAAGGACAAGAAGGTGACCAAGGAGAAGGCGCGAGCTCGTCCAGCTGCGCGGCGACGACCTTTCGTGCCCATGAAGAAGAAGGGCCCCCTGGCGTTCGAGAGCGCTGCAGCGAAGAAACTCGTCAACAGGAGCTCGCTGGGAGGCGAGCAGCTCGAGCGCCCTGTGAGGCTCTTGATCCACGCGGTGCAGGACGACACGAACAAGGAGTATCTCAAGGAGGTGGAGCCGTTTCTTCGCGACGTGTTCCACAAGCGCCTGCCCTTGTCGACTCCAGGTCAGCGAGACATCACGGTGGCCGCCGAGCTGGACAACCGGTGCTTTGTGGAGCGGGCCCCCCTCAATCGAGGGATCAAGCTCTACCACCGCCTGGTGCACATCTTCCCCGCGTGGAGGTCCGAGATACCGATCGCGCTACGGGCTCTTCACAGCTGGGGGAAGTATCAGCAGACGTGGGAGGGGGGTCCTGCCTCCATCGAGGCCATCTACTACATAGCACGAGAGGCACTTCGCAGGGGCCACGTCGATGAAGGCATGGCGTTCCTGCTAGCGTACGACTGCTACCTACGAGAGCAAGATTGGCTACAATTGAGAGCGGAGGACGTGCACGTGAGCTATGGTGACTCCGAGGAGGACCCCAGGACGATCAAGGTGGCCATCCTGCTTGGACGACGTCATAGAAGCGAGAGCGTGAAGACCAGTCAGGAGCAAGGACTTGCCATCGACGACCCGGGGATCGCCCTCGTCATTGCCGAGTGCGTGAAGGCGCTGGGCAAGCAGGCTTTCGTGTTCGACACCACAGCTACCCGTGCGGGTTCAGTGCGGAGACAGATTCTTTCGGATGGCGATATGAGTTGGACTGGACCGATGCACACTTTGCGACACAGCGGACCAAGCCACGACATTCTGCACACAAGGCGTTCCATCGCGGAGATACAACGGAGAGGACGATGGACGCAGAGCAAGAGCATGGCAATATACAGCAAGCCGCACTCTCTGATTGTACACAACGACCGCCTACCGACGAAAGCCAAACGAGAAGGACGAGAGGCTCGACATGATCTACGAGTGCTGCTCCGCCCAATGTCTGTCACCAGCACCTGGAGCTCGGCCACCAAGGCCGCCAGCGACATCCTCGGCGAGTACGGCTCCCAGGCCTTCGAGCCCCTGGACGAGTCGGACTGAGACGTGACGGCTTCGCCGTATGCACGCCCCGTCCCGCAGCTTGCTGCAAAACAGTCCTGCTCCGTCCTCGTCCTCCTCCCTCCTCCTCCATGCGCATAAAGCGTCCCACCCTCCCAGGTCCCATTCCTATAATACAAACCGAGGTTACGGGGGGTGGGGGGTGTTTTCCTGAAAGCTGGCCCTCGGCAGCCTTGCCTTTTTTCGGTGCCCTGGTGATCCGGGGCCTCGCTCGAGGCCCAGCAGCCGCCGTCGGCGGCGAGAGAACCTTCGGAGCAGCAAACTTGCGTGCTGCGATGAGCGTGAAAAAAATAATCGTCTCTGGACATCTCATCGCACCGTCTTAGAACCTCCCTCCCTCCCTCCCTCCCTCCCTCCCCCCCCTCCCTCCCTCCCTCCCCCCCCTCCTCCCTCCCATCCTCCCTCCCTCCCTCACCTCCCCTCCTCCTTCCTCCCTCCCTCCTCCTTCCTCCTCCTCCTCCTCCTCCTCCTCCTCCTCGTCCTCCTCCTCCTCGTCCTCCTCCTCCTCCTCGTCTCCTCTCCTCCTCCTCCTCCGTCTCCTGCCTCTCTTCCTCCTCCCTCCTCTCCTCCGTCTCCTCCTCTTCCTCCTCCTCCTCTTCTTCCTCCTCCTCCTCCCTCCTCCTCCTCCGTCCTCCCCCTCCTCCTCCTCCCTCCCCCTCCTCCTTCCTCGCCGCGTCCATCCTCCCTCAGTCATCCTTCCCCCTCATCCTCATCCTCATCCTCATCCTCCTTCTCCTCCTCCTCCTCCTCCTCCTTCTCATCAGCATCAGCATCATCATCAGCATCAGCATATTTGTCGTTGCTCTTCCTCCTCCTCCTCCCGCACCACACCACCACCATCTTATCGCCTACCACCCTCCTCCTCCTCCTCCTCCTCTCCTCCCTCCTCCTCCTCCTCATCACATCATCGATCAGCATCCATCATCAGCATCATCATCACATCAGCATCATCAATCAACATCATCATCATCCCTCATCCTCATCCGTATTCCTCGTCCTCATCCTCATATCATTCATATTCATGTTTTCAATATCATTTCCTCATCCTCGTTCTCATCATCGTCCTCATCCTCGTTCTCATCCTCCTCCTCCCTCCTCCCTCTTCATCCTGCTCTTCCTGCTGCTCCTCCTCTTCCTCCTCCTCGTCCTCCTCCCCCTCCTCCCCATCCGCCTCCTCCTCATCCTCCCCATCCTCACTCCTCCCTCCTCCCTCCTCTCTCCTCCCTCCTCCCTCCCCCTTCTCCAGCCTCCCGCCAACCGCCTCCCGCCTCCCTCCTCCCGTTAGTCGTAAGTCGTCCGTGTCGGCGTCGAGGTCGTTATCGTCGTCGTCGTCGCCGTCGTCGTCGTGTCAACCACCAGCATCTGGAGCGCCTCGGATCGGCGGCACTGGCGGGAGGCCATTCAATATGTATGCATGTACGTATGCTTGCATGCCATGCATGCACGCATGCATGTACGTCTGTCTGTCTGTCTGTCTGTCTGTCTGTCTGTCTGTCTGTATGCATGTTTGTATGTACGCATGCTTGTATGCCATGCATGCATGCACGTACGTATGTATGTATGCATGCATGCATGTATGCATATGTGTATGTATGTATGTACACATGTATTCGTGCATGCATGAATGCATGCATATGTATGCGTGGATGCGTGTATGTATATATGCATGCATGTATGCAGCCATGCATGCATGTATACATGTATGCATGTTTGCATGTATGCATGTATGTATGTATGTACGTATGTATGCATATAATGTATGTATGTATGTATGTATGTATGTATGTATGTATGTATGTATGTATGTATGTATGTGTGTGTATGTATGTATGTATGTATGTATGTATGTATACATGTATGCATGTATGTATGTATGTGTATATGTATGTATGTATGTATATGTGCATTTATGTATATGTGTATGAATGTGTGTGTGTGTATGTATGTGTATGTATGTATGTATGTATGTATGTATGTATGTATGTATATATGTATGTATGTATGTATGTATGTATGTATGTGTGTGTATGTATGTCTGCAGGTATGTATGTATGTATGTATGTATGCATGCGTGTATGCATGGATGTATGTATGCATGTGTATGCATGTGTATGCATGTATGCATGCATGCATGTATGCATTTATGCACGTTTGTGTTTATGTGCATATATGTATGTATGTATGTATGTACGTACGTACGTATGTATGTATGTATGCATGTACGTACGTATGTATGTATGCATGTATATATATATATGTATGTATGTATGTATGTACGTACGTACGTACGTACGTATGTATGTATGTATGTATGTATGTATGTATATATGTATACATGTATGTATGTATGTATGTTTGCATGCATGCATGCATGCATGCGTGCATGTATGTATGTATGTGTGTATGTATAGATGTAGACATGCATCTTTACATATGTATATAAGTATATGATTTTCCGTTCGGGGGTTCGCAGGACCTACCTCCACCTAGGGTGTGCGAGGCAAGGCGCCGACATGCGTCCAGAAGGACGTCCATAGCTCCTGAGCACGGCGGCTGGGCCAGAGCCCAGGATGCCCTTTAAATCCCCGTGTGAGCCATGAGCGTGAAGAAGGCTCGCGGAGGAGGAGGAGGAGGAGGGAGGAGGCCGAGGACGACGATAGTGAACAGCAAGAACCAGAACGACCCCGTGGGGATGGTGATCGGTTAGACGATGCAGAGGGGCGGGGCCTCCAGCCACTCCAGCCACGCGGCCTCTACGCCGAGCCTCTGCGCCTCCGCCAGCAGCAGCTCGAAAGTGCTCAGCTCGTCTGGCAGCGCGCGCAGGCCGCCCGCGCCCGCCGCCAGGTGGCAGAGGTCGAGCAGCGGCAGCCAGCCAGCGACCTCTCCGCGTGGTCCGGAGGGGGAGGGGCAACGAGCCTCCTCCTTCTCCTCCTCCTCCTCCTCCTCCCCCTTTCGACCTCGGATGTTCTTGGAGGGCTTCGGAGGCTTTTGGTGGGCGCTGCGTCCTGGGGGACGGGGTGATCAAAGGGGGGGGTGGCGGAGGGAAGCATACCCTTCGTGCACCCGGCACTAAGGGGCCCCTTTGAGGGCCCGAGCGCTGCTGCCCTCGATCCCCGCCTGCTCATCGTCCCCCATCGCGAAACGCCTGAATTTTGGCTTGTCGTAGAGGTTCCTGGGCCCTGCTGCGTTTTCCGTCGGCCGCGCTTTGTCGAGAGCCTCCCATGGGGCGCCAGGCGTACGGCCCGAGAGCTGGCCCCGGGTCCCCGAGCTCTCATCTCGGGGCGCCACGAAAATCACGACTGTCGTTATGAGGAATCCCGTGCGCGACGGGGTCGAGAGCTCTGGTCGCAGTCTTTTTGGCAGCGTTGCGTTTTATGCAACGACGTTGGAACTCAGGGACTGCTGCAGGCCGCAGCCACGTGAGCAATTTTGCAAGACGCGCGTCATCCTCGGGTTCTGCGTGCGGTGTACTCCTTATCCGACGCGCTCTGATCTGGCCAATCATCGCTTTCGGGATCTACGGATTCGATATGCGACCAACTCGCTACACACAACTAGAGCAAGCAACAAACGACTGGACGCCAGGAAGATACATGATCAATCGACTTTCTTTTGCGACTTAGTGTCGAACTGGGAAACCCACTCCCGGGGAGTTCAAGACCACGAGCAGCAAAACCAAGCGTTGAAGTTCCCAGAGGGAGAGAGAGAGAGAGAACAATGGCATGTTAGCGCAACGTTATCTACGTTCACCACTCATCCTCCTTCGTCACACAAAGATGTGTCCCGCAACTGCAAGTGTGCATGCAACGTATTTCGAGGTTGTTTCCGTTAGCATCGAGAACTGCTGGGATTCTGTGAAACTTCGAGAAAGGGCGAGAAAACACTAAACACGAACTCGTGCTACTGCTGCCCAGAGATGCCGCCCCCTGGCGTGCCATGCTTCGCCGAGCCATGACCTGGGGGCCAGAAGTGCGGTGAAATGCCGTCGTGCCGTGCCGCGGCGCACCGAAGAACTCATTCTGCCGGAGAGGGTCGGAAGACCGTCTTGTGATCACGGGGTCTGAAGTGCCGCGCCGTGGTGCCCTGACATGTCCTTGTTCACGAACGCGGCACGTCATGATCTTGGGCGGTGCACGCGAATGTCCAAAGCACAACCTGAACCAATAGAAATTCGACGTGCAAGATCTGGGCACCGCTCGCTCCCGTCGGCACCTGTGTCCGTGACTCGGAGATGGCGGTGATGGCGACAGTAGGTGGATGCGGCCTTCCTCCAGCCTTCTGCCGGCAGACCCGCCGCCATTGTACTGCCTCCGAGGGCGAGGTGAGCCGAAGGCGGGACCCTTTCTTCGGGAGCGGCCAAGAGGGGGGTGTCCAAGAGGGGGGGGGGAGGGGGGTTGCAAATCCATGACCGGCGGCCGCATTTGCGCGGTGCGCGGGCCCAGCGGGGGGGCCAGGAACGTAATGAAATAAGAAGAGGCGCCAGGAAATCTGGAGAAATATCATGGCCCACGCCATGATATCCACCCCCCCCTAGTCATCACCCCCCTCTTTTCCGCCCCCGATTTCTGGAGCGCGCCACGTGGCAACCTCCCGGGGCTGCAACTGCGAATGCGTGTTTCACTCGCACCAGGTGGCCGTGTCCTGCGGCGTGCTGGCCACCCAGGGCGAGGGCGGGGCGGCGCTCGCCACCGAAGGAGAATCGGACGAGACGTCCGCCTCGCTGCGGACTGGCGAACGTGTGCAAGTTGCTCTTCTTCTTCTGGGGCTCGGCCTGTGCTTGCGATGTGCGGTCCTGGGCTGCCTGTGCACGGTTCTGCCGGCCAGCTGCTGGTCAAAAATTCTGGGTGTCGACCATCGTCTTGCAGATCCCGTCGGTGTCCTCGCCGATGAAGGAAAGAGATGTCGCTAATGTGCCAGCATCCTGCAGCAATGACCGCAGCTGGATCCGAGCAGTGTGCAGGCGATTTGACAGTGCAAGAACACTGTTACACACTCAACTTGCCTTAGAAGAGTTCGGGCAACACCTGTGCAGCAATGTGTCGGCCGGCCTCAACTGTTGTCACAGCGCAGCCAGAACGGCGACCACCCCTGCAGCGGCGGCTTTCTCTACAGCGCAGCCAGAACGGCGACCACCCCTGCAGCGTCGGCTTTCTCTACCCTCAAGCCGCCAATCCCGCCAAATTCGTCCGCGGACGCCGTCAAGGGCACGGATTGCAACAAGGCCACAGAGCAGGCCTCGATGATGATGATGATGATGATGATGATGATGATGATGATGATGATGATGATGATGATGATGATGATGATGATGATGATGATGATGATGATGAATGATGATGCTGATGCTGATGCTGATGCTGATGCTGATGCTGATGCTGATGCTGCTGATGATGATGATGATGATGATGATGATGATGATGATGATGATGATGATGATGATGATGATGATGATGATGATTACGATTGTGATGATGATGATGATGATGATGAGGATGATGAATGAATGATGATGATGATGATGATGATGATGATGATGATGAGAGAGATATGATGAGGATGAATGATGATGATGATGGAGGAGAGGCGGAGGAGGTGAGGATGAGAGGAGGAGGAGGAGGGAGTGAGGAGGATGAGGAATGGAGAGGAGGAGGAGGAGGAAGGAGAGGAGGAGCAGGATGAGGAGAGGAGGAGGAGGAGGAGGAGGAGAGGAGTAGGAGGTAGGAGGAGGAGTAGAGGAGGAGAGGAGGAGAGGCGAGGAGGAGGAGGGCAGAGGAGGAGGAAGAGGAAGAGAGGAGGAGAGTAGGAGGAGGAGGAGGAGGAAGAGGAGGAGGAGGAGGAGGAGGAGGAGGAGGAGGAGGAGGAGGGGGTGTAGGTGTAGGAGGGAAGATGGCGAAGAGAAAGAGAGACACGAGAGGGGAGAAATGAGAAACATAAAGGAATTACCGAGAGGGGATCAGACGGGTGAACGGAAGGGGGGAAGAGGAAGAGAGTGAGGACGAGGAGAAGGATCCCGATGCGGGGGAAGAGGACCAGGATGCGGGTAAAACATAAGGCAGGCCGGGAGCATGAGGTAGGACTGGAGAAGGCGGAGGTGCCTGTCGCCTGCTCTCCAGGGGTGCCCCCAAATAGGCTTCCCAACACTTTCTTCACGAGTGTTCCCCCCCCACAGCGACGCCTTCCTTCCGCAGGGACGATCCGCCGGACTCCTGCCGAGCGGCGCGCACTTTCTCCTGGGAAGCGCTGCGTTCTCACGTGGTGCCCACGCGCTGCTGGACCTTGGGGGTCATGCCGCCGCCTATGATCAGGCAGCGTCCAAGGGGGGTCACCATTAGGGGCCACCACCTTCTCGGGAGGATGCGGCTACCATACCCTTCTGGGATCCCCCAGTACCCACCCGGCACCACTCGGCGGCGATCGAGGAAGGGAAGTGAGAAGGAGAAGGCCTTCTCAGAACGCGGCGGGACTTCTCGGAAGCCCTCGCGCCTTCTGAGACCTTTTCTGCACCCTCGGGGG